TTCAGCTATGGAAGCTTGGAATAAAGAATCAAGTCACTTGGCAATAGGTTCCAGAAGTCCATTCTTTCGCCGAGACGATAGGTATGAAACCTAATTTAATATAAATAAAATATCAAATGGGAGAAAATAAGAACTTTAAAACATTTTTTAGTTCTACATGACATTTTAACTGTGAAGGTCATAATACTGTTTGCTTTTACTGCAATAAAATACACATATTTTTATTCAGCGATGTCGCACGTGTAAAACAGTATCCCATATGTACAGGTTTTATGGTGTTTTGGGAAGTTACAGGGTCAAATATAGCATGTTAAATTTTTCTGATTTTTCACATTGAAATTCGCCAGATTGGTTATGTTGCCTTTGAGACCATATAGTAGCCCAGGAATGAGAATTACCCACATGATGGCATACCATTTGTAAAAGTAGACAACCCAAGGTATTGCAAATTGGGTATGTCCAGTCATTTGTAGTAGCCACTTAGTCACAAACACTGGCAAAAGTTAGTGTTAATATTTGTTTGTGAGTGAAAAATGCAAAAAACAAATTTGATCGCCAATTTTGGCCAGTGTTTGTGACTACTAAAAAAGACTGGACATACCCCATTTGCAATACCTTGGGTTGTCTACTATTGCAAATTGTATGCCATCATGGGGGTAATTTTCATACCTGGGCTACCATACAGTCTCAAAGGCAACATAAACAACCTGGCGAAATTCAATGTGAAAAAAACGGAAACACAAGCCTTATATTTGACTCTGTGACTTTTGAAAACACCATAAAACCTGTACTTGAGGGGTACTGTTATACTCGGTAGACTTTTCTGAACACAAATATTAGTGTTTCAAAGCAGTAAAACGTATCACAACAATTATATCGTCCGTGTAAGTGCCATTTGTGTATGAAAAATGCTACAAATTTCACTTTCACTGACGATATCATCGTTGCAATACATTTTATTGTTTTGAAACACTAATATTTGTGTTCAGTGAAGTCTTCCTGAGTAAAACAGTACCCCCCATTTACAGGGTTTAAGGTGTCTTGGAAAGTTACAGGGTTAAATATAGTGCTAGCAAACTAAATTACCTGGACTTTTGGCCTGGATTGTCAGGCAGGTCCCACAAATTGTAATGAATAAAAATACCTAATTATGTAAAATTATTACATAAAGATATATATATATATATTGTGAGCGTAAAAGTGGAATTGTGGTTGATGGAAGATACATCAGGCCTGATTTGCTAAACAGCAACCTGAGAATTTTCAGTTAAATGCCCCAGGGAGAGATGTTAGAGTTTGCAATCTACATTGCTGAGGTTCTGCAAAACATGGTATGGGTCCCTGGGGCGGAGTATTTGGAGAGCAGGGTGGGCCAATGCTCCAACAGCACTAGTTGCTGTGTAACAGACCACAATTTAGATCTGACTTAAGTTAACTAATTGGCACTCACCTCTAGCTAGTCAATTAGTAGACAGGCCTTTAAAAGAAGAGGGCAGCCTGCTGCAGAGTGAGGAAGAAAAAGACAGCTAGGAGAGTGAACGACAATTGTGTTTATTGCAAAGCCATTTCTTTTGTTTGGAAAATTGGTAAGTGGGAAAGCCACCCAATAACAAATAGTAATTCCTGTCTAGTAAGAGCTCAAGTAAGAGCAAAGGATTTTGTTTTTTTGTTATTATTTAAAGCACCTATTTTCTTATTGAATAAAAAGGAAAACCGAGCTGAATGTGTCCTGGACTTTGTATACCCTAGAAGGCTGTAGTTACTGCAAGATCTGTGACAATCCTACCTGTAAAAGAGGTGGTTTGTTACTATATATATATATATCTATATATATATATATATATATATATAGATATATATATATACACACACACCCTGTTCCAAATTATTATGCAAATTCTATTTAAGTGTCACAAAGATTAAATATTTTGTTTTTCAGTTTAACTCATGGATGTCATTGTGTCTCAGGGCTCTTTTGATCACTGAAAACAATCTCGGACACCTGTGATAATTAGATTGCCAGGTGAGCCCAATTTAAGGAAAAACTACTAAAAAAGGTTGTTCCACATTATTAAGCATAGCACCATTTTCATGCAATATGGGGAAGAAAAAAGGATCTCTCTGTTGCCGAAAAGAGTGAAATAGTTCAATGTCTTGGACGAGGTATGAAAACATTCGATTTTTAAAACTTAAGCGTGATCATCGCACTATTAAGAGATTTGTGGCTGATTCAGAGCACAGATGGGTTCGTGCAGATAAAGGCACATTGAGGAAGATTTCTGCCAGATCCATGCATCGGATCAAGAGAGCAGCTGCTAAAATACCATTACATAGCAGCTGGTGCCTCTGGAGTCCCATGGACATCAAGGTGTAGAGTCCTCCAGAGTCTTGCAACTGTGCATAAACCTTCTATTTGGCCACCACTAACCAATGCTCTCAAGCAGAAACGGCTGCATCGGGCAGAAAAATACACAAAGACTAATTTTTAAACAGTCCTTTTCACTGATGAGTGCCGTGCAACCCTGGATGGTCCAGATCGAAGGAGTAGTGGATGGTTGGTGGATGGCTACCCTGTTCCAACAAGGCTGCAACGTCAGCAAGGCAGTGGTGGAGTCATGTTTTGGGCCGGAATCATGGGAAGAGAGCTGGTCGGTCCCTTTAGGGTCCCCGAAGGTGTAAAGATGACCTTTGCAAAGTATGTGGAGTTTCTGACTGACCAATTTTTCCCTGGTACAGAAGGAAGAACTTTGATTTCCGTAATAAAATCATCTTCATGCATGACAATGCACCATCTCATGCTGCAAAGAATACCTCTGAATCAATGGCTGCTATGGGGAGAAAAGGAGAGAAAGTCATGGTGTGGCCTCCATCCTCCCCTGACCTCAATCCTATTGAGAACCTTTGGAGCATCCTCAAGTAAAAAATCTATGAGGGTGGAAGGCAGTTTACATCCAAACAGCAGCTCTGGGAGGCTATTCTGACATCTTGCAAACAAATTCAAGCAGAAACTGTCCAAAAACTCACAAGTTCAATGGATGCAAGACTTGTGAAGCTGCTATCAAATAAGGTGTCAGGGAGCCACAGGCGGCGAGGAGGGGAGGCTGCATGCCACTTGCAGCACTCACCCTCAGTCCATCGCCGCCCGCGGTCTCCTCTCTGCTTACCTGTCGGCGAGCGGCGTCTCCTCTGTGCCGCTCGCCGCCAGCGTCCTCCACGCCCCCCAGCGGCAGCATGTATAACGCTGCACGCTGGGAGGTCCAGGAGTTAAGTAAACGCCGGGGTCACGTGAGTGACCCGGCGTTAAAGAAACAGTACCACAATCACAGTGGGGGTATAGATATCCCCCACGTGTGATTGTTAATTCTGATTGGAAGTTATCCAATCAGAATTAAACCTAGGGTATTTATACTTACCTTTCCTGTCCCTCAGTGCCCTGTTGTGGTCTTGTGATACCTGTAGCGTAGTGTTCTCGTCTTGCTCTCTGGTTACTGATTATTTGGCTCGTTATTCCGATTATCCTGTCTTCTCCACTCCTTTGACCTCAGCTTGTTTCTCGTTCTCCCGTTTTCTGGCTCCCTTTACTTGGCTTGTCTCCTGACTATTCTTAGCGTGCTTAGCCCGGCCACTCTAAGGTCCGGTACGGCACCTTTTCTGTGTGTGTGTGTGTGTGTCAGCGTGTTAGGTTCCCCGAATCGTGACATTACAACAGGGCCACCATGGAACCTGCTGACATTCCACAGCTGTTAGTTAATCAGGAGGCTAGAATGGACGGTTTAGACCACCGTATGGATCAGTTTGCCCAGGCTTTACAAACCATACTGGCTCGTACTGCCCACTAGCAACCTGCCGTCCAAGAAGCTGTTGCTGCTGTGCCAGAACCCATTCCTGATCCAGTACCCGCTCCTGCTCACGTGGTTCACATGACGCCACCTCAGCGCTATAGCGGTGATCCAGCATTGTGCCGTGGTTTCCTCAACCAAATTGATATTCATTTGGTGATGAATCCTCGTTCCTACCCCACTGACAGAACCAAAATTGCTTTTTTGATTAACCATTTGTCCGGGAAAGCACTAGCATGGGCTAATCCCATGTGGGAGAATACGTCCCCAATGTCCTTTTCAGACTTCTTAACAGCTTTTAAACGTACGTTTGACCAACCCGGCCGGGTTGCTTCTGCTGGCAAAGCTTTGCTTAGGGTGCGACAGGGTAATAGATCAGTAGCGGATTTTAACATTGAATTCCGTACTTTGGCAGCTGAAGTGGTCTGGAATAACGACGCTCTCGTAACAGCTTTTCAGGAGGGTTTGGCTGCTTACATATTAGATGAGATAGCATCCAGGGAAATGCCTGTTCTTCTGGATGATCTAATAGATTATGTCATTCTAATTGACAACCGTATCAGAGAGAGGCGTAGTCAAAGGAGGATGAATACACAGGGGTTGCCTGCTTTACCCAGTACTGCATTGCTAGCATTACCTCCCCCTAATCAACCACCTCCCGAACCCATGCAATTAGGTGCTGTAGGCTTATCTGAAGCTGAAAGAACGTACCGCAGAAGGGAGGGTTTGTGCCTTTATTGTGGTAAGAGGGGGCATCTCCGAAGAAACTGTCCTAGTTTGCAGGGAAACTCCAGCACCTAAGGCCTAGAAAGGGGTCGGCCTCGGGTGTTATGGTTTTTTCCCCTCATACGTCCATCTATAGACCATTTATAACGGTTTCTCTTTTGGTCAATAAAACCACGATAACAACTAAAGCCTTGATCGATTCAGGTGCTGCAGACAGTTTTATGGATGAGAACTTTGCTAAAACCGCAGCCATGAATCTGATCCAAAAGGCCACACCCTTGGCCATTGAGGCCATAGATGGTAGACCACTTGAGAAACCTCTGGTGACCCATGAAACCCAAGAAATGGTTATGGTCGTGGGTGCCTTACACAAAGAAAGGATAGCCTTTCAAATAATTGACTCCCCTACAGCTTCCATCATTCTGGGTTTTCCCTGGTTAGTGAAGCATAACCCAGTACTCGATTGGGATTCTCTAGATATACTATGGCCCGTTTACATTCCGTTTGTTTAATTAATGTGCCTACAGCTAAACCACTTTCTGTTTCTGTCCCTCCTGTGTATGTAGACCTCGCATTGGTCTTTGAAAAGAGGGAAGCTGATAAACTACCCCCACACCGGGATTATGATTGTGCCATAAATTTGTTACCTGGAACGATGCCTCCTAGGGGTAAGGTCTACCCGCTTTCTGAGAAAGAAAACCAGGTCATGGAGGAGTACATACAGGAATCCTTACGTAAAGGTTTTATCAGAAGGTCCTCCTCTCCTGCTGGTGCTGGTTTCTTTTTTGTTGCCAAGAAGGAGGGCGATTTGAGACCATGTATAGATTATAGGGGTCTGAATAATATAACAATTAAAAATGCTTATCCTATCCCTCTCATTACTGAGTTGTTTGACCGTGTTAAAGGTTCTAGATATTTTACTAAACTAGACCTCAGGGGGGCTTACAACTTGGTTCGGATAAAAGAAAATGATGAATGGAAGACAGCGTTCAATACACGCAGTGGGCATTACGAGTATCTAGTCATGCCTTTTGGACTGTGTAATGCTCCTGCTGTCTTTCAGGACTTCATAAATGATGTCCTTAGAGATCTACTGCATGTCTGTGCTGTGGTTTATCTCGATGATATACTCATATTCTCTCCTGATTTGGAGTCACATCATAACCATGTGAGGAAGGTACTTAAGAGATTGCTACAGAACGGTCTTTATTGTAAATTGGAGAAATGTTTATTTGACCAGAAATCAGTACAATTCCTAGGGTACGTCATTTCTGAACAGGGGTTCAGTATGGATCCTTCTAAATTAGAAGCCATATTGTCTTGGCCTCTTCCTCAAGGTCTTAAGGCAATACAGCGATTTATAGGCTTTGCCAATTATTATCGCAGGTTTATTAAAAACTTTTCATCGGTCATTTCTCCTATCACGAAACTAACTAAAAAGGGTTTGCACCCCAGGGTTTGGACTCCTGAAGCCGTCAAGGCCTTCGAAACCCTCAAAAAGGCATTTGCCACTGCTCCTGTGCTACACCATCCTGATCCTTCCCTTCCCTTTGTAATGGAAGTAGACGCTTCAGAATCAGGTATAGGAGCTGTATTATCACAAAGATTATCCTATAACGAACCCCTCCATCCCTGTTGTTACTTTTCTAGGAAACTGTCTGATGCGGAAAAGAATTACGACATTGGGAATAGGGAACTATTAGCTATTGTGATGGCATTTAAAGAGTGGAGATACTTATTAGAAGGAGCTAGACACAAAATCCTGGTTATAACTGATCATAAGAATCTCTCCTATATAGCTGATGCTAAAAGGTTATCCTCTCGTCAAGCCAGATGGTCCTTATTTCTTTCACGTTTTCAGTTCATTATCACATATAGGCCTGGGTACCGTAATGTCAAGGCTGATGCTATCTCCCGACAATCCGAACCTTTGGAGTCTATCGCCCCCACTCCTGAACCCATTGTACCCACGTCTAAGATAATAGCTGCTACCCGTTTAGTTATTTCATCTCTTTTCCTTGATGGTATCAAGGCATACCAAACCCAAGCACCCTCTGAGACACCTGTTGGTAGATTATACGTGAAAGAGAAAGATAGAAAGAAACTGTTAGCTTTATTTCACACCGCCAAAACGGCTGGCCACCCAGGGGTTACCAAAACATACAAGGGTCTCCTTCAACAGTTTTGGTGGCCTTCACTTAAGCAAGACGTGGTGGATTATGTACAGGCTTGTCGTGTTTGTGCACAGTGTAAGTCTCCTAATGTCAAACCCCCGGGACTCCTAATGCCTTTATCCGTACCCAAGAAACCATGGACCCACTTATCCATGGACTTTATTGTGGATCTTCCTTCATCCGATGGAATGACAGTAATTTTGACTGTGACTGATCGATTCTCTAAAATGGCACACTTTATTCCACTTAAGAAACTACCTTCTGCGGTTCAGTTGGCTCAGGTATTTGCCAAAGAGGTTTTCCGCTTGCATGGTATACCACAGGATATCATATCTGACAGGGGTCCTCAATTTGTCTCTCGGTTTTGGAAGGGCTTTTGTGCTGAGATGGGGATTTCCTTGTCGTTTACTTCCTCCTATCATCCACAATCTAATGGAGCGGCCGAACGGGCGAATCAATCTGTGGAGTTATATTTACGTTGCTTCACGAATGCACACCAGGACAACTGGTCTCACCTCCTTCCTTGGGCTGAATTCGCCAGGAACACAGTGACTCATTCATCCACTGGCTTAAGTCCTTTTATGGTTGCTTATGGGTTCCAACCCTCTGTCCTTCCCGGCGTATTCTCCGACAAGGGAATACCCGCTTTGGACGAGCACCTCACCTCCTTACGGAAGATGTGGGATCAGGTCCATGCTACTCTTTCTCGTTCGACTGCTACTCAGAAGAAATTTGCTGATCGTCGTAGGGGTGCTGCTCCCTCTTATGTCCCGGGTGATAGGGTTTGGTTGTCCTCTAAGAATCTCCGCCTCAGGGTCCCCTCTATGAAATTCGCGCCCAGGTTCCTTGGCCCCTATAAGGTATTGCGTAGGGTCAATCCTGTGTCCTACTCTCTAGCCTTGCCTCCTTCCATGCGTATACCTAACACTTTCCACACCTCCCTTTTGAAGCCCCTGCTCTGTAATCGATTCTCTGGTCCTCTTAGGCGTCCAGATTCTCTTTGCGCTATCTCTAATGACGTGTACGTAGTAGCTGCTTTGCTTGATTCTCGTTTTTCTCGAGGTCGGTTGCAGTATCTGGTTGATTGGAAGGGTTACGGTCCTGAGGAGCGTTCCTGGGTTTCTGCCTCTGACTTGAATGCGCCCTCCTTGATCCGCTCCTTTCATGCGCGGTTCCCTTCGAAGCCTTTGGCTTCCCGCCCGTTGGGCGGGCCTCGAGGGGGGGTTATGTCAGGGAGCCGCGGGCGGCGAGGAGGGGAGGCTGCACGCCACTTGCAGCACTCACCCTCAGTCCATCGCCGCCCGCGGTCTCCTCTCTGCTTACCTGTCGGCGAGCGGCGTCTCCTCTGTGCCGCTCGCCGCCAGCGTCCTCCACGCCCCCCAGCGGCAGCATGTATAACGCTGCACGCTGGGAGGTCCAGGAGTTAAGTAAACGCCGGGGTCACGTGAGTGACCCGGCGTTAAAGAAACAGTACCACAATCACAGTGGGGGTATAGATATCCCCCACGTGTGATTGTTAATTCTGATTGGAAGTTATCCAATCAGAATTAAACCTAGGGTATTTATACTTACCTTTCCTGTCCCTCAGTGCCCTGTTGTGGTCTTGTGATACCTGTAGCGTAGTGTTCTCGTCTTGCTCTCTGGTTACTGATTATTTGGCTCGTTATTCCGATTATCCTGTCTTCTCCACTCCTTTGACCTTGGCTTGTTTCTCGTTCTCCCGTTTTCTGGCTCCCTTTACCTGGCTTGTCTCCTGACTATTCTTAGCGTGCTTAGCCCGGCCACTCTAAGGTCCGGTACGGCACCTTTTCTGTGAGTGTGTGTGTGTCAGCGTGTTAGGTTCCCCGAATCGTGACAAGAGGTGGGCAATGGAGCTATGGTGGGCATAGGGAGGCAGAGGGGATGTTGTGGGCACAGGGAAGGATGGGGCTGTTGTGGGCGCAGGGAGGAATTGAGGTGGGTGCATGGAGGGCACAGTGGCAGACGTGGGTGCAGGGAGGGTACTGCGGCAGAGGTGGGTGCAAGCAGGGCACAGAGTTGGGTGCAGGATAGGGGATGTTGTGTTAGTAGGGAGGGATAGGGGCTGTTGTGGGTGCATGGAAGGATTGGGGCTGAGGTGTGTGCAGGGAGGGAAGAGAGACTAAAGTGTGTGCAGGGAGGGAAGGCACAGAGGCTGTGTTGAACACATGGGCACAGAGAGGTTTGTTGGGGGCATGGGTGCAGAGATACTGTGTTGGGGTATGGGCACAGAGGGGCTGTAATAGGCGCAGAGTGTGATAGGGGCTGTGGTGGTCACAAGGGGGAAAAAGGGATGTGGTGGTCGCAGGGGGGGGCATTGGGGCTGTGGGGGGCATAGGGGTTGCAGTGGGCACAGGGAAGGCATATGAACGGTGGTGTGTGCAGAGAGGACATAGGGCTGTGGTGTTTGCTAGGAGGACATATGGGCTGTGGAGGGTGCAGGGAGACATGGGGGCTATGGTGCGTGCAATAGTGGGGTATAGGGGCTCTAGTAGATAAAGGGAGTGATAGAGGCTTAGGTGGGTGCTGGAAAGCATAGGGGTGGATACAGGGGGGGGGGCATAATGGCTTGGGTTGTTGCAGAGGGGCTGAGGTGGCTTCAGTGAGTGATGGGAGCTGTGGTTAGTCGGGGGGGTGATGTGGGTGAAAGGGGCTGTGGTGGATGCAGTGTGGCTGATGTGGGTGCAGGGGGCTGATGTGGGTGCAGGGCAGCTGTGGTGAGTGCAGGGGGGCTGAGTTGGAGGCAGGAGGGCTGAGGTGAGTGCAGGGGGGCTGTTCGGGTGCAGGGCCATTGGTCCATTACCAATCAGTCTGCCCCTGGTAAGAGGTTATGATTTGGATTTGTGAATGGCCTATGAACTGTGGCTACTGTACTTAAACACGTTAAACCCATTGTGTGAATAGAACCTATGTATCAAGTGAATTTTTCACTTAGTGCTCTATCTCCAATGATTACTTAAAGGAACACTGTAGTGTCAGGAATACAACCATGCATTTCAGACACTATAGTGCCTGTGTGGCTATTTTAAGTCATTTAGATCGCTCTGAAAAGGGGATTTTACTCACTTTGTTTCCCATGCCATGCCAGTGTCATCATGTCTGACCCTGCCTGGCTCAGCTTTCATGGCTGAGATCATCAAACGTAATGTTCTTAGCCAATCTAATGCTTTCCACTGAAAGCATTGGTAGGCTGTTGTGCATAAATGACAAAATGCCACACTGTGCAAAGCAGCACCGCCTCATAGAATGTTCAATGCCTTCACACAGAGCGTGGAGACGCTGAACATAGGTGCTGCACCATGTAAAACATTGACATAGGAATCTATCAATGTAAACATTTTCTCTGAAAAGGCAGAGTTTACATTAAAAAGCCTGCAGGGACAAGCTATAGACACCAGAAGCACTTCATTAAGCTGTAGTTGACTACAGTTTCCCTTTAAGCTGTAGTTGTTCTGGTGACCATAGTGTCCCTTAAACAAGTAAGA